TGGCAGTTTCTTGTGAGGCCATAAGCGCTGGTCTGATACAGGAACAAGACGGCCAACAGCAACCCATATATTTTATCAGCCGAGTGCTTTAAGATGTCGAACGCCGATACCAACTGTTGGAGAAGGTAGCGCTCCTAACAGATGTTATGCGGAACGCGAAAAGAAAATGTTATGCGAATCAGGTTCTCCGTCACGAAAACGGTGTTGTCGTCGCCCATCACGAACCACCGCACGTCCTTCAGCCCCAGCCGCAGCGTCTCCGACACGATCCGCAAGATCCTGATCGCCGACCGGGGCCCCTGCCGGTTCGTGTACTTGAACCTGGCGGTGTCGCCGAAGATTCTCACCGGCGGGAGAGAGTCCTCGTCGAGCTCCGGCGTCATGTTCTGGTCGAGCCAGACGACGCCGCGCCTCTCCCTAGGTCTGTACCAGAGCTTGATGGAGTTCTTGCGCTGGTTCCAGAGCTTGGCGGAGGCGGCGATGCCGAAGACGATGTGGCGGAGGGCGGTGCGGTCCTCGGGGTTGGTTTGGCAGGACTGGCAGCGGAGGAGGGCGGAGGCGGAGGCGGAGGCATTGATGGAGAACGTGTGAGTGGCGAAGGGAAGGTGGTTGCAGGCGCGTGAGGTCGATTGAGTTATCCGAATTCAACATCTGTTTCGAACCATGGGGAACCATAAAAGCACAAAGTCTGGCCGATTTCATCAACGAACTATCACCACTTGGCCATTTCGAAGATAATACCTGGACCATGCATGTCGACGGATCATCCAACAAACAAGGAAGCGGCACTGGCATAATTTTGTAAAGCCCATCCGGTATTACCCTTGAGCAATCACTACGCTTCGGCTTCAAAACGTCAAACAATCAAGCAGAATATGAAGCTTTGCTTGCCGGCATGAGGCTAGCTGCCGAGATGGGAGCCACACAAATTGTATGCTGGACCGACTCGAAAGTGGTGGCCGAACAGGTCAATGATAACTTTCAAGTTAAGGACGAGAACTTGTTGAAGTATTACCATCTGTTCAAAGGGATGAAGGATTAGTTTCAGGATGTACAAGTCCGACACACACCGCGTTGTAACAATGAAAGAGCCGACCAGCTAGCTCAGCTGGCAAGTAGTCGAAAACCAGGACAGCTCCGAACGACCATCCACTTGGAATTACCCACATCCAGCATCCCACAAGAATGCATGCCGATCGAAGAACTTTCAAACTCTTGGATGACTGGCATCATGAATTTCATTGTTAACGGCTCAGAGCCGGCTGATCCAATCGACGCTAAAAAGATCTGAACCGCGCTAACCGTGTGAAGCTGCTCGGCCGAGGCGTGTATTAGGTTGCCGTGTTGTTGGCATTGCTTGCATTTCTTCACATATTCGGCGCAATCGGTTTTAAGGGTCGGCCAATAGTAGCCGGCCCTCAAAACCTTGGCAGCTAACGTCCTTCCTCCTGAGTGGGATCCACAGATTCCTTCGTGAACTTCTCACATGACATGGTCGGCTTGCTGCTGGTCAAGGCATTTCAACAAGGGTGTGGAGAACCCTCGCTGATACAACTCTCCTGTCACTACGGAATAACGTGCTGCTTGGGTTCAGATCTTTTTAGCGTCGATTGGATCAGCCGGCTCTGAGCCGTTAACAATGAAATTCATGATGCCAGTCATCCAAGAGTTTGAAAGTTCTTCGATCGGCATGCATTCTTGTGGGATGCTGGATGTGGGTAATTCCAAGTGGATGGTCGTTCGGAGCTGTCCTGGTTTTCGACTACTTGCCAGCTGAGCTAGCTGGTCGGCTCTTTCATTGTTACAACGCGGTGTGTGTCGGACTTGTACATCCTGAAACTAATCCTTCATCCCTTTGAACAGATGGTAATACTTCAACAAGTTCTCGTCCTTAACTTGAAAGTTATCATTGACCTGTTCGGCCACCACTTTCGAGTCGGTCCAGCATACAATTTGTGTGGCTCCCATCTCGGCAGCTAGCCTCATGCGGGGAACCATAAAAGCACAAAGTCTGGCCGATTTCATCAACGAACTATCACCACTTGGCCATTTCGAAGATAATACCTGGACCATGCATGTCGACGGATCATCCAACAAACAAGGAAGCGGCACTGGCATAATTTTGTAAAGCCCATCCGGTATTACCCTTGAGCAATCAGATTTCTTGGATAAATGACATATTTCTAGTAGTGATAGGGTACTTGTGTATGTGTCTGTTAGATTTTATTTTTTTTGTCATTTTGCTTGGAAACAGAAGGGGGTGGTTGACTGGTTAGTGTCCAGTGTCTAGTTTGATGAGAATGAACAGTGGGCTGTATAACTGTAGTGTGATCTGGAAGTTTTTTTTTACATGTTTTACTCTTTCCGAAAAATAGTGCCTGGTTTTGAAATGAATCAAACATACCTTTTAGGGATGGAGGAAGGATATAGTTTTCATGATTTTTGAAGTTGCTTAATTTTGTTTTTGCGTGACTATGAAACATTTGCAGGTCATATCAACCATTCTATTTTCTGGAAAAATCTAGCTCCTGTTCGTGTAAGTTTGTTCCTTGATCCTGTTTTATGGAATGTTTCTTGTCTTCAGTGATTCTATTACCTAATACTTCAACCCTTGTGCAGGAAGGAGGTGGTGAACCACCCAAGGGATCATTGGGATGGGCTATTGACACACATTTTGGCTCCTTTGATGCATTGATACAAAAAGTTAATGCAGAAGGTGCAGCGCTACAGGGGTCTGGATGGGTGGTGAGTTGTGCATATTCTGAAATTCCTAGAACATCTTTTCATAAGCTTAATGTGTTGGTCGCTATTTGAAATTCCTTGTATCCTTTTACTTAATTTGTACCGCTTGGCCAGTGGCTTGGTCTGGACAAAGAGTTGAAGAGGCTTGTGGTTGAAACTACTGCCAACCAGGTATAGTATCCCTTCCACCTCCAATGCCCCTCCCCTTGTTCCATATCATGCCAAGTGGATATATAGTTCCGCAGTAGCATATTTAAAAAAAAAAAAAAAAAAAGTAGATGAAAGTAGTCTCTTTGTTTTGGTTTGGCCTCCAATTCTGCCTTTTTGTTTTTCTGTTGTATATATTGTCACACCATTCAAGATTCTCTTACAGTATATTGCTTTTACAAATAGTCTATATTCCTTATTATTAATGAGATTCAACAGTCAAATATGTATTGCTTCTTCTGGCTTTTTTAGTCAATGCTGTTGACATTTCAAAGTACAGGTTATGCTATGCTTTACTATTTTAATATGACTTTTGAGGCTGAGTTTATTTATAGGTGTAAATACATATTTAGTTCCTATATGTAAAGTTGCTATTTCCTAGAGTACTATCCTTGCTGTAACAAACTTAACTAAATACACATGATGATTTGTCATTGAATGGCAGTATAAAAACATTTACTAATATTATATATTGTTGGTGCACATATTATTCATTCATGTTCTTGTAAGAGATAAAATGTATCCCTTCCCAATGGCTTTACATGGCCATTAGCTAACAGGTCAAGTTTCATTATAGGTCATGATTCCTTAGAAACCTGATCCAGGTTTTGATCCCTAGCTAGTAACAGTCACATTTTAAGCTGTATATCATTACACATGTGCCCTTTACCAGACACTTGCCGAAAGAGAAAGAGGGATGGATTGGTAAGTAAAATAGAAATTCTGGTATAGACCTAATTAATATACTTGACTTGGGTGTGTATTTATGCTAATAATACACCACCATTAATCTAGTATAATAAGTAGTATTCACACAACTAACTTTTATTAAATAAGTTGTGTG